CTTGGCCTTCAAGTCTTTCAACTTATGCTCCTCCAGTGCCTTATTCTGCGAGTCACTAGAATCAGCTCCTTTTGCTACTGTAGTGATTCCTGTCTCCACCAAGTTCCAATATTCCTTGGAACACAGAAAATTCTCCATAAGCATACTCCAATGATCATAGCACCCATCGAGCCTTGGTATGGCAAGTTGTACAAAACTATTCTCAGACGTCATGCTCTTGTTCTCTCACACTGGTAACTGTGTTTGCAGGTTTTGGCCAAGTCTCGTGATCTGGCTCTGATACCAAATGTTAGAACTGAACTAGGTTATTGAAAAACAGAGTATGATTGCACTAGTAAACTCAGGAGAATTCTTATTGAACTAAAACACAACCTTGGCTATTAAATAGCCTTACATCAAACAAGAAATAAGATAACAAACCACGATTATACAGGTCCTAGAATCGTGGTAGGTTACTAGGTCAGAAACAGAAAAACAAACTTGTCCCTCAAGTATTGGAGGGTTATTAGCATATCCAAGAATAAATCCTAGAATAAATGAAATCTAACAACTAAAATCTTGACAATTTCAACAATATCAAGTTAATTCGAAATTAAAAGAGAACTCAATTTTAAATTTTATTCAAAATAAATTAAAACTACAGAATTAATTTTCAACATAATATAAATAAGAAACCATAATGATCCTAAATTATTTGAAAAATCAAATAAATACGTAATATTATGAAAATACCTCAAACATTGGGATAAAAATAGAAAAGTACTTAAAAAATGTCATAAACATTATTTTTTTGGCTAAAAACGACTGGGTTGAAGGCAAAAGACTTCAATTTTGCACAGATCGCCGAAAGTTTTCCAAAATAGAGTCTTATGAAATGTTCCGACATTGTCGTCCAAAATCAACTTTGATCTATGTTTGATCAACGCTGATTTTAACAGTCTTAATCTGTCATATAATCTTCTACTGTACGTGCTGCATAAAAAATGCAACTTCGCAAAGTTAACTGGATCCCAATAGTACAAAAAACAAAATATGTACAAATTTTTGGTATTGGAGTTGGGTTTGAAGAAAAAAAAATCTCAAGTCAATTAAATTCCAACAACACTTAAATGAGGATCTTATGAAAACGGGGTCTAAATTAATTTTTATTTAAATTGTCAAATTTGAGTTCAACTCGAATTTAAGTGCGAGCTTTCTAAATTGATTATCAAGGTGATTTTATTTTGAATTGTGTTATTTAAGCTCAAAATTTTTTATAACAAGAATAGTTTTAGTCCCAACTAATTTTTCTTTTGTGGACTTGTGGTTATGATATAAGTTTTGTATTTATATAAGTAGCTATTAATCAAATTTGATTAAATTTCAGTTCTTATGAGGCAAAAGAAAAAAAAAGAGAAATCGAAACGGATGAATTTACTGTCTTACCTTTTACAAAACTGAAGTTGGGCGCATGTTCAAAAAAACTAAAGTTAGGCGGAAAAAATGTGAATTGAGAAAGTTAGAGAGCCGAAATTGAAATTTGAGAACCAATCAATGTCTCTCCGGTCTCCACGGCATATTGAACAAACACAGGGGTCCATATGTGAACGACAAAGGAGGTGGAGGCGCAGCGGCCGCTTTTGGTGGGTCCCAAACCTCTGTTCTCCAATCTATGGACAAAGTCTCCACCTTTTCTTTTCTCTCCCACTTCTCTTTTTTTTCTCAACACGTGTCTACACGGCACGTACATGTCTGTCTCCCACCTTACATGGGGTTGTACGATAAACACCATAATTTTTTTTTATTTTTTTTATAAAGTATTAATAATTAATGAGCGAGAAACTATTTACATACAATAGATTTTATTTAATTTTAACTAATGAGAATTTATATATAATAAATTTTATATTTTATTTTGTACAATAAAAAAATAAAAGAAAGAAAAATTTACATATGATTCATCAACAAAAATCGTTGGTATGTTACGGGATTTATCAACAAAAAAAATTAAATAAAAAATATTTTATTCTTAGATGACGTAAATAATCAATGCAATCAACGAAGGACACGAATGACATTTTCACGTGGGACGATGTTTAGGGGGGATGAGTTGACAGGTGGAGGGACTTGTCGCAAGGGGGGGGGACCATCCAGACAGTTTAAGCCGGCACGTATAGCGTGGTTGGACTGGATATTGGGCTCCACGTGGTGGGTGACGTGAGAGGGAGCGCGTCGTCTTACGAAGCGTGTGGGTTTTGTTGTATAGAACATACAGTGGGGTGCTAAAGGCAACCGCCAAAAAAGCAAGGGGCGGCTGCCTCCTCAAGCGCCTTTAAAACCGCGGCTTGTTGCTTTGTCTGGTGACAATGATGGTCCAGTTTCCTTTGGCGCAATTTAGCGGCTCATTTTAAGGCAATAAAGAGCGCACACCCCTGCTAATAATGTTCACACCTACGTATATCGGATTTGTACGAATTTTCAATGGATCCGAGTGTAAGTTTTAAATTCTAAATTCAAATTGTATGTAAATAATAATACAATTGGAAGCAGACAATGATTATCGAATAATTTTCCTTATTACGAAGTCCAAATGCTACTACAAGCCTTCCGAGTTGAACCGTACACCAATCTGGTTTATTAATTAGACCGTTTATGTAATTGAACTGATTGTAAACTAAAATATTGATTAATTTTGTGTAACACCCGTGAATTGAAAGAATTTTTAAAATTTGTCAGTTTGAATTTCAATTTATAAAAAAAAAAAAATCTTTTTTAGGCAATTTTGTCCATCTAGTCTTCTCTCCTCTCTGGCTACTGAAATTTTTTTTTTTCTCTGTTTATAAAGTTAGTGTTCACATTTCATACACACAGAGGTCGATAAGTAGTATACACTTTGACCAATTGACTCAATGATTAAATCAGTTAATCATTGACCTAACTCCTCTATCCATTCAATGGCCAATTCAATTCTAATAAATATAATTTTACCTCGACTTAAAATTAGCCGTACATGCTTAAAAATGCTATGCGAGTCCCATCCCATAAGGAGTGGCCATGTATTGAGCTCAAAATGGGTCAGGCTTCGGCCGGGCCCGATTGTATTGCTTTATCACCTTATTAGCCCAAGCCCAATAATGATAATGGAGAAGAAGCCTTATTAGCCAAGTTGACCTTAGCCCGTGTAAGCATTTCTTTCTATTTTGTTTAAGAGCGATCTTACTTTAATTTAATTATTTATAAACATTGGATTGACAATGGACATTACTATTTTTTGAAATTCATAATTAATTCAATTATTACGACAAATCAGATCAAAAGAGTATGTCAAAAAATCAAGTCCAAATAATTTTATTGCTTGTTTAATTGTATTTTGAAACCTCTTTAATATATTTCTCATTAGTGATCTATCATTCATCTTATGAATTCAAGAGAAAATCACTAGACTTAACTCGCAAGTATATATATATACGTGTAGGTAAATAATTTTTTGTCCTTCCAATGGCTTAGGAAAATACTCTTCGTAAAGGTTTGAGCGAAGGTCGGTGGACAGGAATAGCATTTGGTCACCTAAACTTTTCATTTACAAGGTAAATGGTAGAGAGTAATTCAAAAAAAAAATTGTATTAAAAAAAAAAATAAATTGAAACTGTAGTTCTCAGAAAGTAAGAAGAAATTAGATCAAATTCAAAATGACATTTTTAAATCGAACTTGGATTTGAATAGCATTGAAATTAATGATTGACATATTTATAGTTTGTTTACAAAATAATTTGTTAAAATAACATTTTCTAAGAAAAATATTGTAATACTAGTACTTTCTATAAAATAAACTTTATATACATTTTTTTATTAGGTTCTATTTTTTTTAAGTGTAAGTTATGCGTGAAATATTTTTAAAACAACAAAATAAAAAATTATCATGAAGAATTATTTTATAAAAAGTATAAATAGCAAAACAATCATATTTGTCGGACACAACAAATTTTAATGATTGTTCTTCGATCCACCATGCCAATTTGATAATTGCCCCCACTGCCCCTGCTGACAAGCTTGCGTTACTGATCAACAAATCCAAAACCATCAGACAAATTCTCTTAAATCCATGCATCTCTCATTTGCCCAGTTGCCGCGCCTTGGAAACCCACCCTTTCTTGAAGTTCAAGGTCCGACGATTCTACTCTTCCCTATTTTAAAAGCAGAGTGAAAATTTTAATTTTGACCTCAAATCAACAAGTGAAAAAATAATTTATAAAAGAGTAATGTTATATGAATTTAAAAATTAGACTTGATAATTGCAATAATTGATTTCACTATAAATTCTAATATTTATTGGAAAACACACCATATTCAATAGTTGTGATTATCAAGTTAATTTTTAAATTCATATAGCATTATTTTTTATAAAAAAAAAAAGTCAAAAACAACCAATCCTCCATATTACTTTCATAATTAAATTAAGGGATGGGAAGAGAGGCTTGACAAATTTTTTCTCATTTTTTTTCTAATATTTTAGAACTCTAATTTATTTAAGTTTATTCATTCAATCAATCCTCAACATATGACTCATATAAATTGTAATTTTTCTTTCAATCCCTTAGGGCATCTCCAACCTTCATTCAATTTTAGATTCAAATTTAAATTTGAATAAAAAAATCTAAAAAACGTGTTCCAACTTTTATTCAAACTTATATCAAATTAAGAAAAAACTCTTTTTTTTTACTCAAATTAAGAGAGATTCAAATCATTACTCAAAATTTTAATGGTGTGATTTCACCATCTTTTAAAGATGTAATGATCATCTTTACTCTCATTTAATTTTAGGTTTATTTTTTTTAAATTTAAGTTTCTCTTTCTTTAAATATGAGTTTGTCCATTGAAATTTTTTGTATCAAATCAATTTTTTTACTCAAATACTAACTTAAATTTGAGTCATGATCGGAGATGCTCCCGTTAAGTTACTACTACTATTTAAATTTCATAAAAAAAATAATTTTAATTCCCAAGTAAAAGTCGAAGAAGAAATGTCATTCTCAGCCAACCCCTTATCTCTGAGCGTTCCCGAATCCGCGTTCGACTCATGGTTAAGAGACTGCGGCTACCTTGAAATCCTCGACCAACGAACCTTTGACCTCCACCGCCTCTCCACCACCACCACCACCACCACTTCCTTCTACTCCTCCGCCACCACCACTAGCTCTGCTACCATAATCAGTGGTAGATTCTTTATATCGATTTTTTCATACATCGAAACCTTACTCTCTCTCTTCACTTTCAATTCCTTCTCCAAGCTCACCTCCGACGACTTCTCAGGCGATACGCGCTCCTGGACTTATCGAGTTATTGGTTCTTCTGACTCCTACTTGTTCCCTTCATCGACCTCTCAGGCTTGGTTGAGAGTCCACGAAAATGTCAAGCGCTTTCCTCGCAATTATGCCTCTCTATTCATCCTCTTCTTCGTTTGCTCTGTGTACATACTCTCTCTCTCTCTCTCTCCACACATAAACGTAATTCTTGGTCAAAATTTAGCATTGAAATTTAGAGGTAATTTAGGTTAAATTCATGGGATTGCTTTTATTTTAGTTTTTGGTTTACTGCTTTCTGAGCTAAAAATTTTGAATTTTGTGATTCTAAAAGAAAGAGAGTAATGTCCATTATTTGCTTTATATTTATTTGGTTTGTTAACGGTGGTTTTAGGTATCAAATGCCTCTTGCTCTTGCTGGGATGATATCATGTTTGGCGCTTTGGTATCTGTTCGGATATTGGGGTGATCGATGGGGATTGGATCGATATCCTTTATTTCAACTGAACTTGGTTCGAGTTGCTCAATGTTGTGAGTTTGTTCATCTTTTGTTACTTCATTTTCCTTGATTTGATAACATTCATAGGTATTTTGGTGTCATAGAAAGAGAGACACTCCCTTGGAGCACTCAGATATACACTCAAAGACAACAATCTCTATACTAGTCTTGCCAATATTTATGTTGGTTAGAAATGGTCTTATCGCTAATTGTGATCCTAATGGTGAAGGGGATCGATTTTTTCTCAGTACTCACTGGGGTTAGAGCAAAAACTCTTATTTAGATCCTGCTAGTTAGTCTCTTGGACTAGGGTAAGGAATTTAAATGGGGTTGCCATTTTTTTTTATATTTGAATCTCAAATATGATTTACTCAAGCAATGACTTGCTTTTTATTACCCTTCAAAAAGAGCCTAAGCAATACCCTGCCACACCTATCAAAATCCTTTTTCAACTCTGGTTTACCCCAGGTGGGCAAACTCTCCCTCGGTCCAATGTACGTTTATCAAGAAAATATGATGTCAATGTACACAGCAGAACCATCCACATATTTCTTATCTTGTATGCTTATAAATTCACCCCCATAGCATACTTCAATGCTGAATAAAATAGAGTATACGGTTGAAACCATGCAAAATTAAAGTAAAACTCATATAAATAAATGAATTACAACACTTTATTGGGACCTCTCTTATTGGAACCGCAAACAAAAATATATTATAATATTTTAAAGTACAAAGAATCAAACTTCTGGGACCACTTACATCAACATATAATACAAGACAAAAAAACAAAAGATAGATCTTTCAACACCAATAAAAAATTAAATCCCAAAAATTAAATAATATAATATTCGTCTTCATTCAAACAGTTAGAAAATTTTAGAATCATGACTTACGATATATTTTATCTAGATCCACAAAATATCTTCAGGTCGCAACACCCAAGACATCGTTCTGATAAACACAAAAAAGTTGTTTCTTTTTCCTGGAAGAGACGAACATATCCTTTTCTTGGAGGAGGCAAATAGTTCATTTTCCCTAGAAGAGACGAACAATTCATTTTTCCTTAATTATCCTTAGACCTTGTCTCACATGAGCCATGTGTGCATTTGACCGTTACAGTAAACGGTTGAATTGGATGGAAGAACTTGATTAACACACATTGACGAGTTAAGAGGCTAAATTGACACAAACCAAAGTTGAGAGGCTTAATTAACATAAATCATATAATTTAAATGTTAAATAGTTAGTTAACTCTAATTTTAATTCCAATATAAATATGGGGCAGTAAGGGAAATTTGGAGGCGGAGAAGAAATGTCTTTCTCGGCCAACCCCTTATCTCTGAGCGTCCCCGAGCCCGCATTCGAGTCGTGGCTAAGAGACCGTGGCTACCTGGAAATCCTCGACCAACGAACCTCTGACCTCCACCGCCTCTCCACCACAACCACTTCCTCCTCCTCCTCCTCCTCCGCCACCACCACTAGCTCCGCTTCCATAATCACTGGTGGATTCTTTATATCGGTTTTTTCATACATCGGAACCCTACTCTCTCTCTTCACTTTCAATCCCTTCTCCAAGCTCACCTCCGACGACTTCTCCGGCAATACTCCCTCCTGGACTTTTCGATTTATCGGTTCTTCTGATTCCTACTCGTTCCCTTCGTCGACCTCTCAGGCTCGGTTGAGAGTCCACGAAAATGTCAAGCGCTTTGCTCGCAATTATGCCTCTCTCTTCATCCTCTTCTTCGCTTGCTCTCTGTACATACTCTCTCTCTCTCTGTACACACATAACACACACAAACGTAGTTCTTTGACAAAATTTAGCATTGAAATTTAGAGGTAATTTAGGTTAAATTCATGGAATTGCTTTTATTTTAGTTCTGGTTTTCTGCTTTCTGAGCTAAAATTTTTGAATTTTGTGATTCTGAAAGAACGAAAGAAAGTATTGTGCATTATTTGCTTTATATTTGGTTTTTTAATGTTGGTTTTAGGTATCATATGCCTCTTGCTCTTGTTGGGCTGATATCATGTTTGGCGCTTTGGGATCTGTTCAGATTTTGGGGTGATCGATGGGGATTAGATCGATACCCTGTATTTCGACTAAGCTTGGTTCGAGTTGCTCAATGTGGTGAGTTTGTTAATCTTTAGTTACGTCATTTTTCTTGCTTTGATAACATTCATAGGTATTTTGGTGTCATAGAAAGAGAGAAACTCCCTTGGAGCACTCAGATATACACTCAAAGACAGCAATCTCTATTAGTCTTGCCAATATTTATGCTGGTTGGAAATGCAAATGCTCTTGCATTGTCACAAATTGTGATCCTAATGGTGAAGTGGATTGATTTTTGATCCGTACTCCATGGGGTTAGTGCAAAAGCTTTTATTTAGATGCTGCTAGTTAGTCTCTTGGACTAGGGTAAGGAATTTAAATGGGGTTGCCATTTCTTTTGATATTTGAATCTCAAATATGATTTATTCAAGCAATGGCTTGCTTTTTATTACCCTTCAAAGAGAGCCTAAGCAATACCCTGCCACCTAGTAAAGTCCTTTTCGTCCCTGGTTTACCCAGGTGGGCAAACTGTCCCCTGGTCCATTGGTCCAATGTCAGTTTATCAAGAAAATATGATGTCCCAATGTATGTTTACCATAAATATGTCGTTCCTATTCAACAGCAATATATGGCTGAATGAACTATGGACTAGTGACATGCTCTTCAGTCTAAGAGAACAAGGATCCACATGCGGGTGAACAAGAGGTGGACATTGATCTAAGTTTGGTCTGTGAAGGGCCACTTGAATGATGTTGGAAAACATCTCCTCCCATTTTCGTATGATGAAATATCATATTCCTTTAAAGAAATGATTAAATTCCCTCTTGATCATATTGAAGATTTTGACATAGATAAAGGGTGCATTTCAAAGGTACTTTCCATAGCCTTGTGTTTGAGAGAGAAGAATCAGAATATACTTGCTTTGAGTAGTTCCGTTGTCATTATTGATAGACCGAATGAGAGAGAAGGATTAGAATATACTTTCTTTGAGTGGTTCCGTTGTCATTATTGGTAGACTGAATGAGAGAGAAATCCCACTGATAGATTGTTTAGGTTGTTTGGAGAAATTCATTTTTTAATGCAAATTCAGATTCACTACCATGACAAATTTTACTATTTCTTGGTTGGAGGTTCCTTTACTTCCATATTTCTTCTTCATGTTCAAGGGAATCTTTTTATTGGGAGGTCTTATAATTCATGATTAGCATGGTTGAGACAGATTGCAAATCCTTAAGTTAGGGTATAGTTGAAGGTGGTTCCGCTAATTTCCTTAGTTGGTCCCTGGTGTATTAATCATCTTTTTAGAGAGACTGCCACACACTAACTCTGAATTTCTTGTACAGAATTTCATGAGTTAAAAACAGTTGTTATTATACTGACACAGGCAACTATGGTTATCTTAACTTATTTATTGCCTTCATGAATCTCATTCCCTGACCAGCTCGGACAAATGTGAATTCAACTAGTGGTAATAACTGTGTTTTGTCCTTGCAGCAACTGCCATTATTTTATTCTTCTCCAATGTTCAAATGGCTCTCTTATGCGCTCTTGGGGTTAGTTATGCAGGTGACTTGGATTTTTTTTTTTTTTTTTTTTATATAATCAAAATTCTCATGAGTTTGTTCTCAATTTGGAATACATTTGCAGTTTTGATTTTGCATGCCTCTTTCCGGAAGCTGACTCCCATCAAGCGAGCTACTGAAGGAGGGAGGTCAAAATAGAAGGATCAACAGAAAGATATGGTGATTTTCGGTGGAAGGCCGTTTGTAGGTATCGTAGGTTGGGCTAAACAGTTTGCTGTATGTTGCTGATCTTGAAGAGATGCATAGAAGAATTCCAATTAGTTATAAGTGCGCTTGGAATTGTTGTTGTTTTCCAATTTCATGTGCTTATGAGAAATGAGAGATGTAGCGACTAGTTTTGCTTTTTGTTATGCATCTCAAAACTTGCAAGCCTGCTAGGGTTCAGTTGGGTGAATTTTTGGCTGTGGTTAATCATCTTTCAGCAAATATTTCTTCCAGGAAAAAAACTAAAATTTTTCAAGCTTGGATGAAACTCTTTTTCAAGTTTAGGAGACATAAATTTTTGGTTTTGTTCAGTGGAATTGTATGAATGTATAGACCAGAATAAAATACTGCAGGCGATGACTGAATCTGGATCACCATGAGGTTAGTCAAGTTTTGGCTATGATTTGCCATTCTACCCGCATAATTTCAGATTAGACGTAGGTTGGCATCACAGACAGCAAATCTTGATCTTCAACAAGGGTTCAAAGCTCAAGATTGCTTAGATATCGGTTCCCTTAACATCTGTTTATCGGCTAAGGCGACAATAGGATGCTTGCCTCTCTGTTGTGTTCTGACTTCTAATCCATAAAAATTTAGGGATATAGGCTCTATTTTCTTTGATTTTTACATCATAGTTCTTTAAAAAGGATTGCGCAAGGCCCAAGACTCTAAACTAGGCCTTGCCATCTGTATTGAAAAAGAGGTACTTCAGGCATATGCATCTCTAACACTGTAATAAAGTAGGGATTTGGAACTGAGCCTAAACATGGCAGAGATAGACCCATATGATACTCTCTCAAAGCCACCGCAGGCCCTAGTCATGCAACTCTTCAATGCCAATGGAGGCAAGAATCGAACTATATTATGTGATCTTAT